GCCCTTTGTCCATACGTCTGCCGGTGAGCTCCGGTGAGCTTCATACGCCAGTCGTTGGAGGTTTGGAATCAGGGTTTAGCCATCTCCCCTAGACTGTCATCCAATGGACAGTCAACCCGGTGAAGAGCGCTGGGCATTCGCTTATGCCCTCTCACTTTGGTGAAAAACACCTCCGCCACGTGAAGGCAGTGAGTAGGACTTCCTCAGGAGAGGCTATGTAAGACGCCCGGTCATATGGGAGCATTTCAATAGGTGTACGGAGGGGTGGCCAACCCGCAGCGCAAGACACCCACCCCGCATCATATGTAATTCGCAAACAAGTCTTTAGCCGTTACACTACGTAATCTGTGTGAAACCTACTCTTTGCTCATTGGTTGGTTTCAATATACTATGTACAGCTAGAGTTCTATTTTTCAGTATTAACCGCAACAGTTAAGCATGCAGTGCTAATTTTCAGCACTAAAGGCATTGTTTCAGATGATGATCTTATTTTAAAGATTTCATCGCATTAATTAAACACCCAGCTCTTTTTTTAAGCACGACCAGCGTTATTTCAGAACATAGTGGGTAGATAAAATGGTTATTTACCATAAAAAAGCATTATCGAAGAATAGGTTAGAATAAATTTAGAATTGCTGTAAGCTGTAGCAGGGGACTATAGTCCCCCTATTATACGTAAATGAACTGCGGAAAATTCTAACCTTATTTTCCTTATTATTTGTGGACGTCATTAAGATATGGAAAACCATAAGTAATGACGGTGATAGTTGGGTACTACAAATCAATCTAGCTAAATTAGCGGAATGGGCTAACTTCTGGGTTTTGGAAATGAATTCCAATGCACCTAGGTCAGAGGTCTTACATGTCGTACTCCCTGGGGGACACATAACTGCTAGATTATTAAGGGACTTAGGAATTACTTTAAGCCAGCTGCTAGTTCTTAGCATCCCAACGACGCAGACTAGACAGTCTACACCTACCTACGTGGCTGGCTGGGTAGCTGGAACCAACAGTCAAGGATTTCACGAACTGATGACAGGTTTTGGCTTAACTACCCCTAACTCTTTTCCAACCTAGTCTTATATAAGCTAATATTACTCGTTAAGGAAGGCAGTGGCTGTCTCAGTTGATGTAGCTTCATAAAGCTGCGGAATCCGATGGAATAACTTCAGAGGTGCTTAAGAACGATGGAGACAGTTTACTGTCTGCGTTAACTAAGGTAATAGGCAGCTTCTGGGAATCAGAGGAAGTCCCATCAGTTTGGTGTAAGTCATTGATTATCCTGATATAGTTTCTTCTCTTGCTTTGTGTGCTAAAAGAAGTGTGGCGACTCGAACTGCCGCATATCGGTGTAATGTTGAAACAAGTCAGTCACTCAGTCAGTCATCGATTGACTTCCTTTCCTTACTCAGCACTATACATCTAACCTCAGTATTGCTCAGCATATTATACCACTTTACACACGAGGTAACACGCTTCCTGATATCTTCCACTTTCACTGACTATCTCTCATAGCCATATAAGAGGATAGAGAGAACTGACACACTCTTAGATAAACGTACTGTTTTGTCTTCTAGCTGAATAGCCCCAAAAATTCGTCTTAGCCTTGTATAGGTGTATGCGTATTACATTCTCAGTCAACATGGAACTATTGTATTTGTATTGTATTGTATGTGATTTCATTTTCATACATTTGGTTGCCTTGATTAATTTCGATAGATTTGCAGTATGAAATAATGTTGTCATTCTATTTCACAGGTTCTCGTCAGCTAACTGCGAACCACTACCTGAAATTACAATGGTCATAGATAATAACGTTTCATACTTCAATGTTTGAAAGGTAATAGTGAAAACATTATAGGATGAACGCATTCGGAATTCAAGTATTACAATTTTTAGTTACCATCAATTTACATACTATCAAACTATGAATAAAAAAAGTGGGTGAGAGAAGACAAAAATCTAATAAACAGTGTTAGCTTGTACATCAACACGGCAACTCAAGAAGGTTAAATTTCGTCAAATTGAAAACTTTCTTAGTGAGCCGAGCTCATTAGTGTGTATGACTAGTCAGTGTAATGAAAGTAATACCAAGAGAGTAAGAGATTGTCTACACACTCTCTTTCTGTATGCATAAGTTTAGTCTGAGACGTTTGATTGTAATTGCTTCAGTAAACCGTCGTAGACTCGGTCTCCTTTGTATGTTTAATATCTAAGGATTTGGAAATCTCGACAAAATGACCCGTATTCACAGAGTGGGTGTCTGGTGATTGCACTTTGTAAATATCTGCTTCGTTTTAAGCATAAGTTTTTGAATATGCTGTGAAAACCGGAAAGAAGGCCAGCCTTCTTTCTGTCCTTCCAGTGTACTTGCTCCCACAGATTCACGTAGATTTATGAATGCAGATGGAGGTAACATCAGCAGAGTACTTATCCAGTTTTGATTGGCTTATAGAGCATGCAGTGCTGTATGGTGTCACCAGATTGGCTGCAGAGAAGCATCTCTTTATTGCCCCTTTTATCCTCTTTTCAATCTTTTGTGATACTGAACTTTAACCTTCTTGAGTTGCCTTATTGACGTACAAGCTAACATTGTCTATTAGATTTTTCTGTCTTCTCTCACCCCACTTTTTTATTCATAGTTTGATAGTATGTCTGTCTGTCTCTGTCTGGATTCAACATAGAACTTGGCACCGAAGTGCACCAGTTCGAGTTGCCACGTTCCAAATAGCACACAGAGGTAGACAAGAAGATGAGTGAAGAGAATCAATACAGTCTGACAAGTATAAGAGTGAAACAGAATGGGTAATGGTAGAGAGGAATATGAAAGATTACAGAGACTGAATACATCTGCGCTGGCCATTGACAAGGATTTTGAGCCATGTCACCTATTGTCTCCAGCCATTGATTCCTAGAGTCCCCGAGGGCCCCAACCCGGAAGTCTTCATCTCCCTCCCTACCTGACTCAGTTTAACTGTCAAGGATTTCATGGATTGATGAGGCCATGTTTTTGTTTGGCCACCACTTACCCTTTTCCAACCTGCACCTATATCAGCTAGTAATGCCCGTCGTGGGGAGGCGATGGTTAGGCATGCGCAGCACGTGACCTAGCCATCTCAATCTATGTAACTTTATAGCCTCGTCGATTGATTTTCCCTGTTTGCCCAACACTCTACGCCTAACGTCAACATTACTTACCTTGTTAAACCACCTAACGTGAGACAGGGATCGCAGACATCTATGATCGAAAGCAGTCAACCTTTTCATGTCTTCAACGCGTATTGGCCATGTTTCAGAGCCATAGAGAAGGACGGAGCGAACTGCTGAACAGTACACACGTCCCTTGGTTGATAGCCGGATGTCACGCCTACGCCAGAGATGGTGTAAGTCAGCGAAAGCAGCTCGAGCTTTTCGGATCCTTGCTGAGATTTCGTCGCCAATCAATCCGTTGGTGCTAATACAACTTCCCAAATAGGTGAAGTGGTGAACATGTTCTATCACTTCACTCCCTATCACTAAGTTAGGGGTTGACGTGGTCCAGTCCTGTAGCAGCATCTTACATTTTGTAGGGGCGAATCGCATGCCAAACATACGAAGATTGCCGCTCAAAGTGTTCGGAAGACTCTGCATTTTGTCAGCATCCTCCCCTAACAGGACTATGTCATCTGCATATTCTAAGTCCATAAGATTATTCCCTGGTAACAAGTCGATTCCTAAGTCATTACGTTCAGTTAAGGATACTTCCATCAGGATATCTATGATGAAGTTAAACAGAAACGGGGAGAGTGGACATCCCTGTCGGACACCACTGGTTGTTACCAATTCAGATGACAATTCCCCATAAGCCCTTACACGGCTACATGAGTTTGAATAGAGTGCCTTGATTAGTCCAATGTACTTTCTTGGCACTCCCTTCACAGTCAGACATTGCCATAGTACCTTTCGATCCACGGAGTCGAAGGCCACCTTCAAGTCAAGAAATATGACAATTGTTGGACGCCGAAAAGTGTGTCTATGTTCTAGAATCTGTCGGAGAGTGAAGATATGATCTATGCACCCTCTACCTGGTCTAAAGCCTGCTTGATTCTCCCTCGTTAGTTCCTCCCGAGTTCTGCTTAGTCTATCCATGATTACTGAGCCTAGGATTTTAGAGACTATGTTCGTTAGGCTGATCCCCCTATGATTATCACACGAGGACTTGTTTCCCTTCTTGAATATCGGTATAATAAGTGACTTACCCCAGTCTGATGGAACCGTCTCTGATTCCCACACTTTGCCTAGTACCATAGTTAATCTACAAACTAGTATGTCACCCCCATATTTAAACACCTCCGGAATAATTCCGTCGGGTCTTGCCGCTTTGCCTCGTTTAAAATTACAGATAGCTTTTGTGACCTCACTTACAGACGTCGGACCAGTGTCTATATCCCATTCGGGTTTGTGCTGGATGTTGGGGAGGTTCAGTGTGGCTGTAGGCAAGTTAAATTGTTCCTCAAAGTGTTCTTTCCAGCGTTCAAGGCGTCTATCCTGAGAGCTAATTAAGGAGCCATTTTTCTCAGAAATAGTCTCACTTATGATTTGCCTTCTCCCACCCGTTTCCCTGATGAGTATAAAGAGTTGCCTAATGTTCCCTACCGCCGATGCTTTTTCCATCTCTTTCACCTTTGTCACCCACCACTGTTCACGGTCCTTGCGGATGGTAACTAAAAATTGTAATACTTGAATTCCGAATGCGTTCATCATATAATGTTTTCACTGTTACCTTTCAAACATTGAAGTATGAAACGTTATTATCTATGACCATTGTAATTTCAGGTAGTGGTTCGCAGTTAGCTGACGAGAACCTGTGAAGTAGAATGATTTCATTTTCTTCCGATCTTACTGCGTATTTCCGTGATGTATTTTATTTCCATTTCAAAATAATTATTCAAATATCTTCACATTGTGTATTTTAGATACTGTTAGACTCACAAGAAAAATGATTGCATAATTTAATACCTATGAATCCTTCTGTTTCTGGTCACTATCCTCTACTTCGTCATGATCCTGTTACTGCTCGGGCTATTTCACGTCTAAGCCATGGAGTTGCTCGTTTAACTGCCAGTTTGAATCCTGAAGGACAGCATCGTCATTTTCGTACTCGACGAGCAAAGTTAGGAAATAGAAGTGTTTCAGAATCTTTGTCAGGTGATGACAGGTAGGTTGTGAGTCTTTTTGTTTTAGGAAAATTCCGCTAGTGTCATTATTACATCAATTCATAATTGTAGTACCTGAAAATAAAATAAATAAAACAGTCGTATAATGTACTAAGTAAGGCCCATAATTGTTATTTGGGGGTCTGCTGATAATTCCCTGGTTACCTAAGCCGAAGTAGGGTGGAATGGTACTCTAACTCGGGGCACAATGCACCACATCTCTTATTGGCTCAAATTACAATCAATGGGTCCTGGGTTCGGACCTGATACACTCACTCACTCCCACCTGGATAACTAGGTATTATCATTCTTGATAAACTCAACTAAATTCCAGTTACCTGCATATCCTCATAATATATTCAGAACAAAAATAATTAGAGCAAACAACTCTTCTCCAGGCTCTACAATTATAAATCCGTTAATTTCAGCATCTAGTAGCAGACAGTAAAGGCAAATTAGAATTATATCAGAAAGTGTATAGCGTGCGGTACAATTACACAGGATGCAATAATAGTCGGTGGCACAGGGGTTAGGATGCTCGCCGACCATACACATTGTCCGGGGTTCGATCTCAGGCCGGGGCACTCCGTTACCTCGTTAAGCCAGAAATAAATCTGGTAAAGAAGAAAGGTTGGGCATGAGGCTAGCAATCCTATTCTGTAAAAATAAACACTTCTACCGAAACTTCAATCCAATAGTTTGAAGCCCAATGCTCCACTGGGAATGTAAAGGAAAAAAATTTGATTATCATTTAGAACATGTATGATCAGTCAAAATTTGAAATAAAATGAAATGAAATTTATTGATGTTTGTACTAGTGAAGCTCAGCGTTAAGGACACATTCAGCTTTGTTAAAACTGTTGAAAGCCCGCACGTAAACGGGAATAAAATGATTTCACTGGTTGCGACATCATTATTTACCAATGTCCTAATGCTCGAAACAGTTAATTATATATGTGACCACTTGACGAAATGAAGGACATATAGGAATCCTACTTGAAAAGGACAAAGAATTACTGTTGAGATGCACGATATATGTCCAGTTTATGTTCAACAATGATTTTTATAGACAAGCTAATGGAATTGCGATGTACTCACCTTTGAGCTCCCTATGCTCGTGAATATTTTTTTGGCAAAACTTGAAAATGGTCCACTCAAAGACATGATTAAGAAGCCTGACTATTATTATCAGTACTTGGGGGACACTTTCATCATTTGTGATAGAAATCTTAAAAAACATGAGCTTTTGAATGTTGTCACTAATGTTCACCTGTGAGAAAGAATTAAACGACAATGGACCCTTCCTAGACGTCCTCCTCACGAAAAAGGTAGATGTATATTTGCAAAGAAACCTATTTAGAAAGACAACTTGGACAAGTCAGTACATTCATTTTCATATCTTCACAACACTCCGCTACAAGAGAAGCTTAGTTAAGTGCCTTAGTTGTAGAGTAAAACGTATATGTTCAGATGAATGCATTAAGGAAGAAAGGTGTAAATTGGAATTTACACTGCAAAAAAATGGATATCCAGGGAATTTCCATACCTGGAGACAAGTTAATGATGAATGCCGTGGATAAGAAACCTTTGTATCTGAAATTAAGTTGCAGAAGGGAGATTCTAGTTGACATTCTAAAATATCATCTTAATAGGGCACGAGAGAGAACATTTCTTGCAGCGAAACTAATACTCAGTTTCTCAACTAAATCAATACTCACACAACGAGTCAAAGATAAATGACCTCATCGATGTGCATCTATGAATTCAACTGCTCATGTGGAGCTAGTTACGTTGGCTGTACTCAGGAGTTTCTTGGAGTGGTCTCATATTAGTAAACTTACAGCCAGTTACGAACCACCGTAGGGTAAGTGGAGATGTACACTTGTCGGGTTGACATTGTCTAACCCCCTGCCTCCAGAGTGGAGAGACATCATAGCTGGCGTACTGGTCATCTGAGAGAAAAATCTTGCTGCTGTTATATTCCTGTTCCCCAGCAGTTCGACTTCGCCCACAGACCCCGAGGATAGTGTAAAAACAAAATTCTTACACTATGCTGGTGACTGCTTTTAGTTTAATTGCTATCCTAACAATCTTCCTGACATGGTAGGACCTGCAGGAACATTAGTTCCAGCCAGTGTAGGTTGTTAGGTCATTGTGATGTTCAAGCCCGGTGACCACCACGTCAAGGTAGCAGCTATCGGTCGGTGATATGACTCAAAATCGTTATCACTGGCGCAGATGCCCAGTAAAAATATATTGTTCTTCGATATTACTATTCTTTTTGTCTCAAATCCCTGTTTACTATCTCTATTTTGAATCTCTTTTTACTCTCTTCTCTTGCTTTGTGTGCTACTTGGAGAGAGTGTGGCGACTCGAACTGCTGCACATCGGTGCAAAGTCCTATGTTGAAACCAGTCAGTCAGTCATTACTCAGGGGGCTTTATCCGTGTATTCACATGAACATGAAAGTATGATAGAGTAAAGGGGAAGCCAAATACGTAAATATTTTGGTTTTAGTCCATTTGGTAGATACTGGAAACTCAATAAAACCTGAGCAGGCGTTCTTGGTTATCCACCGTGTTCCTGGTAATATCTCTAGAGGAGCTCGGCTACATCTTCAAGGATTTGCTGAGGCTGCAGCAATTAATACCAGTAGACTTGGTGTTTGTATACAAAAGGAGTATATACAACCGTTATACTTACCTCGATCAAACTGAAGGTCACTAAATCCTCCATAAACATTGGCACTATAAATTCCTATCCCATTTTTTTTCTTTTGTCTTCTTTTTGCCATTGTTCCATCGACAAACATTTATTTCGAACCTTTTGAGACTTCATCACCTTTCTTATTATGTCTGTTACCTTACACTTATCTAATGCTTTTCAGACTTTTCCTTATATCTACACAATCTTGTCTCAGAAGGGACATGAGTTCCTTTAAGGTTGCAGATACGTCTTGCTGACGAAGCCAACTAACACGAAACCAAGGTGCAGCCAAGGCCTCCTGCCGATTGCCTCCAACTATCTAATATCATCAAATCAATGTATAGCGTGATGGTGAGCTACCTAGTGGCATGCTGGCCACATTGAAAACCCTACTGATAGAATTCAGTCTCCATCACACTAGTTACTAGTGTCGACTCAAAGTATTCACTACAGTCCTACAGGAGGTCAGTCACAAGCTAGCCCGAACAACTCAGTGGTAACGTCTCTGACTGCAGTACTGGGTGATGTGGGTTTGAGTCTCAGAAGGGATATGAGTTCCTTCAAAGTCGCAGATACGCCTCACTAACGAGCGCCAACTAGCACGAAATCTAGGTCAAGTCGGGGTTCCTGCCGATTACCTCCAACCATCTAATACCTGTCTATTCCACTCGTTTTAATTCATTATTACCTGATAATCGTTCACTAACAGTACTTCCAAGTTTAAACAATATCGTGGCTATTATTATTATTATTATTTTGAAGTCCTAAAGGTACCCTTAATAATTCTGCTGAAGAAGGTGTGGCTTGTACAAACAAGTAAACGTTCATAAGAATTGTTCTCTTTGAATCTCTAAACACCTAGGGATTATTTTAAGTGATTCAATGTGAATCAACGCTGAGATTATTCCAAGAAACCGTCAATATCTAGGATCTTCATATCAGTGATTGCGTAATCTGATCTGAAGTGTGAAAGGAGCCCAACTAGCAGGTTATATTCGAAACATGAATGACCTTTACTATAGAATGACAGAATTATGTGTGCAAACTGCAAATCTTTAAAGGTGTGATGCCCCATAAAGTCTAAATTTACGGTTGCTTCTCCTGAAAGTTATGTGTAGTTTCCGTTTTTCATGAATATCTCTCCTCTCATTTTATCTCTCTCTTTTCAGTCGCTATGTTGCAACAGGATCGAAACGAAAATGGCAACCGGATAAAATTGAATTGGATACTATCATGGAACTTGAACAGTCGACAACACATTCATCAAAACAGGTATCACCGACAACACCTTCAAGAAGCACGACGGCAACAACAACAGCAATCACAACTACTACTATGCCTCCATTAATTCCATCCTCTATACGCCTGAAACATTCCAGTATCGATTCAACGTTACGTCATGTCTCCATTTCTATAGATGCGCTTAATTTACAAACTAAACTACTTACTCCATTCTCTTATTCTAATCCAACTCTACAAAAATCATTAAGTTCAGATAATATTGAAAGTACAGGACGTTATTCATCAGGTTCATCTATGCTTTCAATAACAACTTCATCAGATAATCATAATAATAACAATGATAATGAGACTGATGCTTCATCACAAGATGCAGATGTTGAAGATGAAGATCACAATGAGCTGATTTCTATGCTTCGATCGACTACTAATGGTCGATCCACCTTCACATCAAAGATGGTCTCATCATCAAGACGTAAATTGTCCTTGTTTGATAAACATTTCTATGATGTATGGAAACCATTCGATGATAGTGTGTATAGTTGTGGTGGTGATTCATCGGATGGTTTATCAATTAATATTAAAATGCCACGATTAAGTTCAACTTATTTTCATAATAATAATAATAACAATAGTAATCTACCAGGATTATCTGATTACTCGTCTAGATTATCGCCTATATCAAGTAGTCAGTCGACAAGACGGTATACACGTGGTATGCTTGCCTCTTCTTCATCAGATACTACCAATCATCGTCGAAGGGTGAAGTGTAAGTGCAAGCTACGGAATAATGAACATCATACTACTGCTGCCGATTGTCATAAAAGTGGAAAGTAAGTTTGATTTTTTTCCCCGTAAACACGGATTTTATTTTTAATTGGTAATGATTGAGACATAGCGTTTAAAAGCAAAAAAAATAAAATAAAAAATGAAAGGAGAATCTCCAATTCCCTGAAGAAGACTTTGCCGGCAGCAACTCTAAGAGTGATATTCTCTAACCACCCACTACTTCAGAGCAACAGGAAGGACAGACTTCCGCATATGACCACTTCAATGTGCATTTATCAGTTCACCTGCTCTTGCGGAGCTAGGTACATTTAGGTTGTTCTATGCGGGTCTTATCAAAACGTGTTAGAGAACATCATCCAAAGAGGAGGCACTGGTTCAATCAGAAGCGCAATAACTGAACATCTCGTCAGTACCTGTCACAGAATCTCAACCGACTCATCATTTAGAGTCATTTATAAAGTAAACAAAAATCTACCAAAGGCAGTGTGTTCCCTACTTCTTTGTACTACTGCAGAAGCTCTCGCCATATGCATCGAAAAGCCGGAGCTGTGTGTTCTGAAGAAACTAGTCCAGTCTCTACAACTACCATGGACCTAGTTCAGTATGTTCCCTTATCCTTCAGTTTTTTTTTGTTTTGTTATCTGTGTGTGTAATTTTCTCTCTTTGCCTTCATTCTATTCATCCTATTTTTTCAGTTATAAAATCAGTTATTTTAAGTTTGTTTCCATGCTTCTCCTTATGACACTTGTAATCCGTTTAGAATAACCATTTTACAATTATATTCTAATCCTGTATAATTTTTTGTTTCTATGCCTCTTGTAATCTATATTCATACCTCCTAACTTACATTTCAAGTTGAAAATTTTGATTTCAATTTGTTTCCATGCTCATTTTGTTCACACCTGTAATTCGTTCTATCCATGCGTAATTTTTGTCTCTAAGCCTCTTGTAATTCATATCAAGTTGAAAACAATTATCACCTTTTATTCGCCTTTAAGATTATTTTCTCCAATTATCAAATATTAATTTTCCATACGTTGTAACTGTTTTCTAATCAATCCTGTGCAATCTTGTCCCTAAGCCCATTGTAATATATATTCCTGCCTTCAAACTTTCATATCAAGTTGAAAATTATTATCACCTTCGTTGCTATGTGGAATTGAACTAATAATAATTGTATCCATGTAAATTAATCTGTATAAATGCGATTGTACAGCTGCTTTTGAGAATAAAGTCGCCGAAAAGATCTACATCTTTGCTGAACTTCTTGTTCTTTTCAATCTAATGTTCTAATGGGTATTTTCCACGATTTAAAAGAAATATATGTATAAAATCGCTAGGTGTCTTTGATCGCAGATATTCTGTTTACCTGTGTAAAACTCAGTCAACTCATCACTACACTAGTAGAAAGGCATCTGAATACATGCGAAAAATGGTCTAAAACCATACTCTCCGACCCCCCAACACCACCCCATCTATTCCCAACTCTCTTGTATGTCATCAGGTAGAACCAGAAATCAGTATAAAATATGATATATGTTCGTACAACCAAGTATAGGAACTCGACGATACCATATTTGGCCAACCCGTGTTCTAAGTGAGACAGAGACAATGTTAAGCGCGAAACCTATGACTTGCTTTGTTGTTAAATAACATAATTTTAGGCTCTTTTATTTCTCTCTTATTTGTATTCTATAGTGAACAATCTTCTTAAACATACTTAGCTACCTAAATTATTAACATTGGCTTACTTTTTTTGTAATTTACTGTATTCCTTCTTTTGTGTATCTACTGGTTCCGACTATATTATCACTATGAGTATTACAAAATTGTCCTGTCATTGACCATCATATGATATTAGTCTTGTGGTTGTTTTTTGTTCGGCAATATTAACTGACAATCTTGATTGTGAACGCCATTATCACTATCTTAAAAAATCCTGTATTATGCAGGATTACTCACGCCACCACAACAAACACCTCATTAGAGCTGACAATAAAAAAAACACAACCTGAAATGTTTATTTTATGATTGTTTAGTGTTGTTCAATCAAATTAACTGATCATCTTGGCGATAAACATTCTTAAATATCATTTCATAACTTGTAATATGACTATAGCTTTACTGTCACCACGCATAAACATATCATAGCTTCCACTACCCAATACTAAGGTGTTATTTATTATACCGTTGATTTTCCTTTCTACTTTTTCGTATTTTTTCGCATTTTATTTTGTTTTTTTGTTGCTGTTTTTATATTTATTTTTTGAAATACTCCTTTTTAAATGTTTGATAAAATTAGATGCAATACTGTAGATATGTGCTGATAATTCCAAACTGTACCACTAGTACTGTTTCTGGAATAAAGCAAAAATTATTATTATTATTATTATTAAATGCTATGCTATGAGGAGTTTGACATGGAGTGCTGCGTAAAGCAGGGAAGTCAATCAATGCGATAATAAAGCCTTCCTCGCTGAACAATGTTAGCTAACACACGAATAAGTTGAAATAGGGTGGTCAAACCAAAACCATCCAATGAAGTCTTTCACTATTGGTGTCAGTCATTTTACTTAGGAGGAAGGTGTAGAACGCCTAGCTGGTGTCCTTAAAACACTAAGAATCAATGGCTAAAGACTGTTAGTGATATATTATAGCTCAAGGTGTTTCTCACTGTTTGCACTTTCTTAGATCCATTTAATTTCCATATTTCTCCAAGTGACCACTCTTTCTAACTGACTTATTTGACTGGTTTCAACATAGAACTTTGCACTGATGTGCAGTGATTCGAGTCGTCACACTCCCTTCATTCACCACACAAAGCAAGAGAAGAAAGTCGAAGAAGTGCATAATAGAGACAGTAGACAGGGACATGAGACAAAAAGAATAGTAATATCGAAGAACAATATAGTTTCATTGGGTATCATAAATCACAAAGAGTGGATGCATCTGCGCCATCCATTGAAAACGACGATTTTGAGCCATATATCACCGATTGTCTTTAGCCTTCATTGGTTTTTACCGTCTCGAGGACCCCAACTAGGCAGCCGGATGAGGGTGGTAAGTGAATGACCCTACTCAAATCTTCTATGCGTGTCTCCGAAACACAGCATACATCCATGGCACGAGATGCCAGAGTTTTTGCTAGTGATGCTTGTTGTCCGATTTGGCAGAGAGGGTCTTATAGTTGTAGCTCCTATAATATGAAGTTGGTGACGTGACTTTAAGAGGCTTTCGACAGTGTTTCAATGGTCCTCATCGTTGTTTATGACCACAGAGTGAAGTGAAGATGCCTCACTAGTCTGAGGAATAGTACTAAGTGTAGTATGTAGAAGCCGTAGTGCAATTAGGAAGATTAAAGCACTTTTAATGTGTTCAAAAACAATTCGTCATCACACTAAACCTTCCTTGGTATCTAACCGACTGACTGGTTACAAAGTAGAACTTTGCACAGATGTGCAATAGTTCCACTTACCACACTCTCCATGTAGCACACATAGCAAGAGAGGAGAGTAAAGGGAGATTCAAAAGAGGTAATAAATAGAAATATGAGGCAAGAAAAATAGTAATACGGAAGAACAATAGAATTTTATTGGATATTATAAATCATAGAGAGTGAATGTATCTGCTGCAGTCGTATTTAATTAATCCATGGTAGGCGAAATTTGGATTCTATTGTATTCTGAACACAGTTTTTTAAAATTTTTTTTGATTACAGCTTGATTCCACACCGTATTTTTGGTACAAGTATACTATTTTCAGCATGTGATATCGGTAGCCCAAATTTTGCAGACCGACCATACATATGAAGTGTGCGTCAGCCGGGGATTGAACCTCGGACCATGTACATAGTTGGCGAGAGTCTCAACCACCTGTGTCACCGACGCACAAAATGTATGTGATTAATCCCCCAAAGTGCTTCCATTACCTTCAATAACCAACTTTGAATTAGAGTTATGTGTTGAGATAATTTTGAAGCCAGTCATTAATAAATAATATTGATTTTGTGACCTGACATTAATAAGTGTTTTGCAGTGGATGATGGTGATGGATTTCTATTCAGATCACTAATTGCATTGGGATATTCTATGTGTTTTTTAATAACCATTTTGGAGCATGTCCTTTTCGACGACACTGGAACATTTTATTGCTTCTACCTATTTGTAGGTGTCACCGCCATTGTTCACACTCTTCATCCACTTCATCGTCAAGCTTATCAACTGAAGAATCTTCTGATGAGAATTGTTCAAAGGGTAAGTCTCGATAATTAAACTCATCTAAGTAATTATATTATTAAATGGACTTAACCCTAACTCACTTCAGAGACACAGGGATTGACTTGCTACCAGGGGATAATCTCGTTGACTTAGAATATACAGACGATATAGTCCTTCTAGGTGAGGAGGCTGACAAAATAGAGCAGAGTCTTCTGAACGCCTTGAGCTGCAATCTACGAATGTTTAGCATGCGATTCGCCTTCGCAGTACGGATACAGAGGGATAGTTTAGCATATGCCAGTTTATGCCGTCTCTGGCGTAGACATGATATCCGGCTGGCTATCGACCAAAGGGCGTGTGTACTGCTCATCAGTCCGCTCCGTCCTCCTTTATGTCTGTGAACGAGACATGGCCATTGAGAGTGGAAGACATGAAAAGGTCTACTAGCTGTCTTCGATCATAGGTGCATTCGTCCTATCTCCCGTGTGAAGTGGTATAATAAGGTGAGCGATATTGAGGTTTGGCATCGGTCGAGTGCTAGGTAAGGAGGGAAAATCAATTGACGAGGTTGTGAAGTTACATCGACTGAGATGGTTAGGATATGTGTTACGCATGTATGCCTAGTCATCGCCTACCTCGATAGCAGGAAATGCTAGCTGATGTGTAGGGTCAGGCTGGAAAAGAGCTAGCACGTTGTGGTCAAACAAAAGCATGGCACCAATCCATGAAATCTACAACAGTTAGTCTAAGCCACGTAGGAAGGTGTAGACTTCCTGACTGGTTAGAGTCCTCGGGACGGTAAAAACCAATGGTTGGAAACAATTGGTGATATGTCTGAAAATCGCAGATGCATGTCCTTGTGACTTATGATTTCCAATGAAACTGTTTTGTTCTTCGTTACCACCATTCCTTTGTCTCACACCTCTGTTTACTGTCTCTATTATGCATTTCTTCTACTTTCTCCTCTTGCTTTGTGTGGTACATGGAGTGTGGCGACTAGAACTGTCGCAAAGTTCTATGTCGAAAACAGACAGACAGACAAATGATGAGAATAATTAATGTGTACAACATTGAGCGAAGTTGGAATTCAACAGTTATTGAATTTCAATTCGGTCGGTGAATGATCAACTCCATAACTTGACAACATTGAAGATTCTAAGTTCGACGCTTGGGTTGGTGAGGGCGTGGGGAGGTTAGGGATCATTAATGTGCACTGATGCAGAGTCCCAAATTGCAGTGAAACTGCAACTGTGGAGTACTGTTTTAGTTCATTTTCATGGTTCTCTAACTTTGATGTCATTCATCAGTAGTTCAGCGGATAGAACGCTCGCAAACCACGTGTGTGTGTGCTCGGGGAATCGATCCTCGACTGACGACGGACGCTTTAGGCCTTGCTAAGCTGGTAGTAAGGCCATGCAAGAGGGAAGTTTGGCCGTGAGGCTAGCAGCCCCACCCTCACAAAATTGAAAATAACAACCCAATGCTACAGAAACTTCAAACCTGTCTAGCTTGAAACCTCATGTCCAAGTCGGAACATAAAGCAATAAAAAACATAAAAATTCCCACCAAATCCCCCATAATAGACGTTTTTTGTATTTCCCAATGAATGAAAAAAAAAACCAGCGTGAGGGCAATTTCGCGTCGTCAAGTTGGCCAGTTGGTAAAGATAACAAAACTAAGTGTAGATTGTCAAATACTTGATCATCGTTCGTCACTCTGGGGTCGTTGTTTGTTGTCAAGTTGGTCAATTGGTAAAGATAAAAAAATCAAATGTAGGTTGTTGGATTTTATCAGTGTGTAAAATTATGAAAGTAGTGTGTGTTTACATAGTGAACTTGCTTATCACATTTGTGTTGATTTTGTCACTTCATGGGAGAGGGGGGTGTTGTAGCCAGGTCAGATTCTGTTTTAGTCCATCATTCCTATTCAGTTCAGGCTATTTGGATTCCACTTGATATGAAGTGCTTCTGATGATGTTAGACGTTCTTTGTGGTTTCTGAAGTTTTTCTGGATTATTTCAATATTTTCAAGTATTGGTTTTTGTATATTGTCAATATTGTCAAAATCAATTTTGTGGCCTGATTCTATAGCATGTAGACCTATGGCTGATGATTTTTCAAGTTTTTCTAGTTCAAACTGGATTTCTTGGTGGTCGAAGAGATGCTCTACGGTGTTCATTTCTTCTGATTTTGATTTCTCGAGATGTTTGTCCGATGTAGATCGCATCACATTCCGAGCATTTTATTTTATAGACACAATTAGATAGAGAATCTTTCGGGATTTGGTCTTTTATATGGACAAGGTTGTTTTGAAGTGTGTCTGATGTTTTGAAGAAAACTCTAATGTCGAACTGATTGAGTACTCTTCTGATATCGTCTGACGTCTCTGCTCTATATGGAATGACGACTGTTGAAGTCCATGTTTTCGGAATGCATTTTCGGCCATACTTAATGTCTGTGTTGATTTTGTTGATGAAGTTCGTTGGGTAGTTGTTTTGCTTGAGAGTTTCAGTGATGTTTGATATTTCTTCTTTTTCTTTCTCATCCGTTATCAGAGAGTGTGCTCGTCTAAGAAGACTTGAAACAACTGAAATCTTTGCGCTGATGGGGTGTGATGATTTGAAGTCTAAATATTTATTGGAGTGGGTTTTCTTCCTGAATATGGATATACTAAAATGTCCGTTTTCCTTTCTCTTAACTAGGCAGTCTAGAAATGGAAGTTCACCGATGTCTGATTCTGCTTCCGAAGTGAACTGGATTTTGGGAGATACACAGTTTATTTTCTCCAGGAATGAATTGTGTAGATCTCGTTTTAGTACTACAAAAGTATCATCCACATATCTTAACCATATTTTAGGAGTGAGTATGCTTGAAAAGATATTATTTTCGAATTTATTCATGAAAAGGTCGACGATTGTCGGGAGACTGGTGAACCCATAGCAACACCATTTGTCTGTCTATATAAACTCCCTTTAAATGTAAAATAATTACTTTCTAGACAGAATTTTAAGCTCTTAATTATTTCACTGGTGTCCAGTGGACATCTTTGTGATAGTGTTGTATCTGATTCTAGTAGACTGGAAATGATGTCAAGACTTTCGGTAATAGGGATGCTAGTATATAGTGAGTTAATATCATAATGTCTTCTTTATCAATTTCTCGGTGTTCTATTTGGGATTTGAAATCATATGAATTTCTTACAATATTTTGAGTGTCCTTTTGTAGTGGTTGTAGTATCGAGAGTAAGTATTTAGAAAGGTTGTATGTTGGTGAGTTGGTGAAATCTATTACTGGTCTTAATGGAGCTGTGGGTTTATGTATCTTTGGTTGACCGTAGAATCTTGAAGGTATATAAGATTTTGGTTTTAGTGTAAACCAGAGAGAATTTCCAATTTTGGGTTTCATTTCTTGAAGTAGTCTGTTTGTATTTAGTTTCATTTTGTTGAATTCGGCGGATTTCTTCTTCTCTTCAATGAGTAAGTATGGTCCTTCAGATAGGTGTTCAATCGCTTTCTTTTCATAATCCGTTCTGTTCATTATCACAGTGACGTTTCCCTTGTCGGCTTTCGTTATGACGATGCTTTTGTCTTTCTTCAAATTTCTTAAGGCTTCATATTCTTGTTTGGTGAGATTAGATGGTATGTTTCGTTGTGTCATTAATATGTGTGATATCTTTTGATTTTGTGATTCTTCATTGGTGAGTTGTTGTAGAGCAGGTTCAATCATAGGTGCTATTTCCTGGACCGATAATGGCTTTCTAGTTATATTGAAATTCAAACCTTTCTGTAGTAATGAGATTTCATTTTCGGTTAGTATCTTGTCTGACATGTTTTGTATGGCTCTAATATTCTTCATATCATTTGTTAAGGTTTTCTTTGGTTGTTTCTTTTTTTCGAGTTTCAAGAATTTTTGTATATGTCTTCTTTTAGTGACATTATGAAAATGAGATTCTCGTTCATTGAACAATTTCGAAAGGATTCATAGATATGACTTGTAACAAGTAATGTTAAGCAGTCGTCTGTATTTTTGATTCTCGTTCGATAAGATTCAAGTTTGATGTTGCATTTATGTATTCGCTCTCGTAAAAATACTTTGGAGGTATGATTTGCAGCAAGTATGGATTTTTGTGAATATTCAAGGGGTTTAACACGTAGTGACTTAGGAATAATTCCACTTTGTAGACGGCGTACATTGAAAATACGATGATTATAAAAGTTACATTTATGGTTCGATAGAGTAATCCGGTCTTTAATTAAATTGTATATGTCCAAACCAAGTTCACTTTCAACCGTTTGAAAAAATTTGGGCATTGGGTATATGATATTCATTACAATAAAGGCTTTTTGTTTTTCCCAATGAATGATAAACAAAACGATATTGTTTATATAGACAGACAAATGGTGTTGCTATTGGTTCACCAGTTTCCCGACAATCGTTGACCTTTTCATGAATAGATTCGAAGATAACATCTTCTCAAGCATACTCACTCCTAAAATATGGCTAAGGTATGTGGATGATACTTTTGTAGTACTAAAACGAGATCTACACAATTCATTCCTGGAGAAAATAAACTGTGTATCTCCCAAAATCCAGTTCACTTCGGAAGCAGAATCAGACATCGGTGAACTACCATTTCTAGACTGCCTAGTTAAGAGGAAGGAAAACGGACATTTTGTATATCCATATTCAGGAAGAAAGCCCACTCCAATAAATACTTAGACTTCAAATCATCACACCCCATCAGCGCAAAGATTTCAGTTGTTTCAAATCTTCTTAGACGAGCACACTCTCTGATAACGGATGAGAAAGAAAAAGAAGAAGAAATATCACACATTACTGAAACTCTCAAGCGAAACAACTACCCAACGAACTTCATCAACAAAATCAACACAGATATTAAGTATGGCCGAAAACGCATTCCGAAAACATGGACATCAACAGTCGTCATTCCATGTAGAGCAGAGACGTCAGACGATATCAGAAGAGTACTCAATCAGTTCGACATTAGAGTTTTCTTCAAAACATCAGACACACTTC